TTTATTTATTTTTGTTTGTTTATTGCTATCAGGGATTGAACCCAGAGGTGCTTAACCACTGAGCAATATCCCCAGTAATTTTTAATTTTAATTTTGAGACAGGGTCTTACTAAGTTGCTTAAGGTTTCACTTAATTGCTGAGGTTGGTCTCAAACTTGAAATCCTCTTATCTCATCCTACAGAGTCACTGGGATTACAGGCATGTGCCTCCAAACACAGTTGCTGGTTAAAATTTTAACTCTTAGTAAACTTGTCTTTAGTTTAGTCCCAGAAGCAAAACAAATCTTACACTGTTTTATCATTTATCAACAATTCATATAAAACACACATGCCCAAATACATATGTCTTATAAAATTCAAGAAGCTGAGTACTTGAATTTATTTTTAGCAGTTGAGTTTTAGTGCTTTAAGCTGAAAATTAATCAGATATCTTCTCTAATACATTCATAAGCTCCACTTACATCAAACATAATGTACATTTTTTAACAGTTAATTTTAGGTTACTCATATAAACCAAGATATCAGATGAATATGGTTAGCATTTTTCATATATATTTTCTTAGTTGTAGTTGATCACAATACCTTTATTTTATTTATTTATTTTTATGCACTGCTGAGGATCAAACCCAGTGCCTCGCACATGCTAGGCGAGCGCTCTACGCCTGAGCCATAATGCCAGCCCCCATGGTTAACATTTTAAGCCATCTTTTTTTCTGCCAAAGAAAAATCTTAAAAGCAACAGACATTGTACTTCAAACATTTTATAGAAAACAGCACTCTCTTCATTGGCTGATCATCTAGAAAAACATGTACATTAGTAATTTTAAAGACATCTTTACTCTCATTTTTGTAACCAATTTAAATTTACCTTTTTGTTAAAGGTTACTTAAGTCACATGAACTAAAAGGCATTTGGATCTATTCTTTTTTTAAATTTATGAGTGCTGATTTATCCATAAGCCAATTTGATACCATGTAGACATAATATACAATACACACATGTATTGTGAAAAAATTAAAATATAAACAGAAAACAAAGATTTCTATAGCTTTTATCTAGATTTACCATTTGTCAGGATTTTTAAAAATAACCTGTTGATATGATTACCATGGTCCAGCTAGGTGTGGTGGCACATGCGTCAGCTACTTTAGGAGGCTGAGACAAGAGGATTGTAAATTCAAGGCCCATCTCAGCAATTTAGTGAGGCCATAAGCAACTTAGTGGGACTGTCTGAAAAAAAATTACATCTCAAATACATAAAACTTAATTTAAACATTACTAGAAGGGTTTGGGTAAGTGAAAGTCTAAGTTTTAAAGGTGGGGCATGTTATGCAGACTTAATATCTTTTCCTAACTTAAGAACTAGTCAATACAGGGAGATAAACTTACAAATGGAAATTTCTTTTGAAAAAGTTAGGGAAATCACCAGTGGGCCAGATATCCTCTTTAACCAAGAAGCATAAAAGAAAGTGTCTCTCAAGACAAGCAAAAGAAATAAAGAAAGGGCTCTTCTTTTTAGAGCTTGCATAGTCCAGGTATTGGACACCTATAGGTAAGGGATAAGAAAGTTAAAGCTGCTCATTAAACAGAGTGTAGGTCAGATTTCAAATTTCAGAAACCAAAACAGCTTGGCACAGATGTCTTCTGTGACACAGAAACAGGGGACACAGATCTGGGGGAGGCCTATAGAATTGGGGATGGCTGGGACAGGGTCTACCAACCATGCCTGGACATTGAATCAATGGTTCAGGTGGTCACCTGTCCATCCATGAGGTTGATCCATGTCAACTATCATCATTGTTTATTCTCCTTTTTAGGATCTTTATAGGGGAAGATCTTTTTTTTCCCAATGTATTTGAGAGTTAGTCCTTGAATAATTGCTTAACATAACAACACTTGAATCAGACTTTTTAAAAAGACAGCAGTGGGGATAAGGTGGAGGGATCCAGAAAGTCATATCTTTGACCATTTTCCTCCCCAATTATAGAACAAGCTTCCGTTCTCTAATTTATATTGAGACCAAGCTATGTTACAAGGAAAAAAAATCATTTCTTTTTTCCTTTTAAAAGTTCTCTGCCTTAAGAGTTGGGGTTGTAGCTCAGTGGTAGAGAGAGCACTTGCCTCACACATGTGAGGCACTGGGTTTGATCCTCAGCACCACATAAAAATAAATAAATAAATATATTGTGTTCATCTACAACTAAAAAAATTTTTTTAAAAAAAGTTCTCTTCCTTAAAAGAATTCTAATTATTTAGTACATACCTAAGTGGTGAGTTTTCAAGGATAAACAATGAATTATCCATAATAGTTAATGGTTTTTTGAAAAACATAGGCCTCGGGGTACTCTGAGTTCCCACCAGGGATAGGATTTTTAAATCTGTCCCATACTGTATCTTCAGGGTAATCTGCTTTTCTCTTGGGACTTGACCTTTAGTCAGTCCCATAATATTGGGGTACTCTTATTAGTTCCCAGAAGGATAGGACTTTTAAGCTTGTCCCAAATTGTCTGCAAATTATTGGCAATACAATTGTCCTTGTCCCCATTATGCAGTTGTCCTAGTTAGGAGCTAACTAGGACTCAAGAAAAGAAATATTTTATGGAAAATAATCCTAAAAACAATATTCCTAAGATCTCAAGTAATCTAGGTGCATTTAAGAACTTATAACTTTTTGGTCTTATTTTTAAAAAGTGAGAACACAAAAACCTCAGTTTTTAGGAATGTTAGGATAAGACAATGTCAGGTAACTTTTAATGGAAAGAGATTTGTTTATAGTTAACATTTTATCTCATGACCAAGAAGGACAAACGCCTCATTGCAATCTTGTCTCTTCAGGCAAGATCTGATTAAAAGAAAACTGTCTTAAGTTTAGCAGTTGTTGTCCCAGCTATCTGAAGGTGAGGTTCTCATTCTTTCAGTGAGATAGTACTAATAGGGTGACCATTTATGTTGACTGATAATAAGAGAACAGAGAAAGAGAACACTTTCTTTCAGAGCTGCTACTATTAAAAGTCAGATCAAGAGTGGAAAAAATATCAAGTACAGAGAATGTGAAGATAAACCCAAGGATCAGCATGACTTTAGATAAAGCAAGTTTTGAGAATGTTTTCTAGCTGACAGTAACTGCATAGGAAGAGAATAATTTAGCTGGAAAATAAGACAAGATTGCAAAGAGATAGTTTAGAGACTAGATCAAGGGAAGACAGAACAAGAGTACATCCACAGAACCTAATTAGTTCTCTTTGTTTCCACCCATTAATCTTCAGGGTTTGTATACCTATTGTTTTACAAGTTACTTGATTGTTCATTAAAGGCAATTCAAAGAAACCCCAAGACCCTGCTTGGCCATTGGTTCACATTTCACTGATCCTTACTAACTAGTATCTACCACTTAAAATTTGTATGTTTTGAGACAGGATCTCCCTAATTGCTGAGGATATTACTAAATTGTTGAGGCTGGCCTAAAATTTGCAATCCTCCTGTTTCATTCAGCCTCCCAAGTTGCTGGGATTATAGGCATGTGCCACTGTGCCTGGCCCCAGAATCTTTTATTGAGTTCCTTCAGACCAAAGATTTTCTCATGTCCAGAAGGTGTTACTATGTCCTGAACCAACTTATTCTTTCATGGCATTCTCATTTTTAGCTGGTGAGTAATCTGATAGCCCTTAAGTACTCAATCCATACCCACTAGTTAAGTTGTGACTTGGCTTTGAGATCCCCTTGACAACTTAGGGATTTTCCCCACTCAAGCTCAAGAAAAAGGAACTATGAAGACAGAGAACAAAATCCCTGTGAATTTCCAGAAATTGGAATTCACACTCCTGCAGTACAATGGGCCCGCTTATCTATAATTTAATTTTCTGTGGTTTCAATTGCCATTGGTCAACCATGGTTCAAAAATATTAAATGGGAAATTCCAGAAATAAACAATTGATAAGTTTAATATTATATACCATTCTGGGTAGTTTGATGAAAGAGTGTTGTTCTAATCCATCCTGTGTGGGTTCCTTTGTGCAATATACTCATATTGAACAACCTATGCAACAGTCACTTAGCAGCCAACTTGGTAATCAAATCAACTGTGGCAGTGGCATGGTACTAGTACACAGTGTCTGTTACACTCTGTACCTTCAGGCATCCACTGGGATTTTGGAACATGGCCCTACAATTGCCATTAAATGCCAGTTTCTGACATAGTGAGACACCTACAATCTCCCTATAGGACCCAGTCTTATTTCTGTCATGACTGCTATTCTTGCCAGTGACTCCTCAGCCTCTGTAAACCCCACAAGGTCACATGATTTTTTGCCATACATACTAGCCCTCTGTCTGCAGCCCTGAGTTCATATGCCTTCTCACAGTTCACTTTCCCTGAATTCAAAAGCCAAAAGATTAAAGGTAAAATGCAAAAAGAACAGAGTTCAATCTGAGATGGACTTACAACACTTGAGGCTCCCTAAGAAGACAGGGGATCTTAAAAGGAATCGGCAGCACCTCTCCCGCATTCCATAGCTGTGTTCTTCAAGTCCCTTTATAAATTGCCAAAACTGTTGAAGACAAAATTATCACAAATTTACTCATGGATCTAATTGGTTGTTAATTGGGAGTCAGGATCTAATTGCCTTAATTCTACAAAGTGACAATGAGACCTCCCATTGGACAATAGCAGAACAGTGGACAGGTAATGTAGGAACAAGGAAACAGAACAATAAGGAAATCTTGACTACTTTGGTTACTTTTCTATGAGAGTTAAATCCACAGAACTTTCTTATCATGCTAATTCAGGTACATGGAAACCTCCTCTTTCCATGAAAAACTTGCCTGTTAGGGGAATTATCTACTTCTCTAAAGCTTCAGTTTGATTTTGTGGCACTCACAGATTGAGTGACACCATTTTGGGTTATTCTGGTCTGTTAGGGCCTGTTAGTATAGGAATTTAGGCCAAAACACTGATCTCCTATAATTTTTTTTTCTACAATGGCCCCCAAATTCTGAATTCCATGCTATCCTTTGAGCTTCTAGATGACTTGTTGGTAAGGGAGAAAGTTGAGATCTCCAGAGAGAATTTGGCCACCTTTCCCAAGTCACACTGTCCTCCCCTAGTGGGCCCTTTCCCCTCGTGGGTACTTCTACTTCCACAGATGGGATGTTTGGGCACTTGGTATCCGATTTTTGTTTCCTAAGCTTTAAAGTAAAGAAAAATCCAGCAGTGCATGTCCTTTTATACATATGTGCAGATTTTCCTTTGTATGCACCTAGGGGTGTGTTTCCTCCCCTCACTCCTTCTGCCACTTCATCCTGAGATGTTTTTCACTCCCAAGCCCTACCTTAACAGTTTCTAGAAACTCTTCCTTCCACCTAACCCTAGTTAACCTGGACACTGGGGCAGGGTAAGCACCTCTACTGCACCCTTCCCCCATTCCTATTGGAGAGCAAAGTGACCCTGCTGCACACAAGCCTCTTTTTCATCTGACTCTCCACTTACTCTCCTTCTAGCTCTCCAGCTCCTATACCACCACCACCACCATCACAGCACCTCCCAACGGGTGCCTGAAGAATGGAGGAGAGAATTTGGAGAAGGACCTTCTCTACTTGGCAGAAGACATCCGCCCTGAAATAAAAGATGACATATATGACCCCAGCTATCAGGATGCAGAGGGCCCCAGGCCCAAAACTGAGTTTGTCTGGAGAAACATCATCCTCATGGGTCTGCTGCACCTGGGAGCCCTGTGTGGGATCATACTTGTTCCCACCTGCAAGTTCTACACTTGGCTCTGGGGTAAGCAGGTTTCCTTGTCCTGAGCCAGTCCCCCAGGTTTCTCATTGCTTCTTGATAAGGTGGGTTGCTCCAAGAGTGGGCCCCTCTCTGTCCAGGTTTTGCCAGTTATGTGTCTTTGGTTGCTTGAGATACTGAATGGGCTGGAGAAAGAGCCTAGGGAGTTTGAAAGGCAAGAATGTCAGTTCTGGGGGTCTCTTAATGTGGTATTGGGGAACAATCCCTAAGACCATGTGCAGAGGTTGGAGGAGTAGACAAATGGCCTTTAGAGAGGCAGGTGTCCCAGAGAGTTTCTGTTTGCATCATTTGTGTGGCGGCCTGTCAAAGCTTACTTGCCACTAGATAACTCAGAGGAAAGATGGTAGAAAAGGGAAGAACAGAAAGGGGATAATTCAGAAAAATACTTTGACCTGACCCCTTGGCTAGTCCAGATTCCTTTGTCACACAGGAAGAATAACAAGGCTCCTGTCCGACCTAAGTTGCGCAGATGTGTTGCTGTGTTACTCTTGGAAGGTCTCCAGGGCATAGCAAATGCCAGGCAACAAAAGGCTCTTAGAATGAAATAAAGTTGCATAAATTCTGTTTAACTCCTTCCGGCTACTTCCCTCTCTCCAGATGCCAATGAAGTGCCAAAGACCCAGTACCTTCTAACTCTAGTACTGCCCCCTACCTGTCTTCCAGGGGCTGCTGTAGTGAGAAAGAGAGGGTTTCCAGTTTCTGTCTGATCCACCCTTATTTCAGGGACCCATCAGGACTCCTGATGGCCTGCCCCCCTGGATCTATGCCTTTGCAGGTAGATTCACCTCTGTCCCTGAAGCTGAGCTAGGAAGGGGGAACAGGGAGCACTAGAGATCCAGGTGCCAAATTGCTGCTCTATGAGGAGTTGGGAGCCAGTATGCCCTCTCCAGAAGTCACTCAGAGGTTTCCTGGAACAACCTCAGGTGTGGGGGACTTTCTGGCAGATCTCTTGGAGGGCAGTGGGTTAGAAGGACTGGTCAGTCAGGAGATAGCTGGACCCTCTATACCTCTTAGGTCTCATAGGTGGTAAGATGTGCTCCCTTGAGCACTGACTTGACAAATCTTTCTGATGTCACAGGAAAATGCAACTGAGAAGATCTCTTTTCTCAGGCAAAAGACCAGAGACCAACTGGGGACAAACTCATATTTTTAGGACAGGAAAAGTTATGTTCCTTTGATTACATGGTATCATCCCTGCCCCAGAGGCACTTGGTGGGAGCAGGCCAGGCAGGAGGTCACACCATCTGCATACCAGAAAGGGTTGCTATGTGTGTGAGGGGAGGTGACTTCAGTTTTCCTACTAGTGTGACCCTCCATACTTAACCTCTGACACTTAACCTCTACAGAATCTATTTCCTTATTCGCTTAGCTGTCAACTGCGAATAATAACAGTTCTTCCACTGACAGAACAAATCTAACTGATTGAGTCTCTTATTTGACAGACAAATAGGTGTGAATTGAACAGGCATCAAAGTGCCTGTGTTCTTGTCCCAGTACCCCTGTTAAGATGGGAGGCATGTGCTTTGGGATTCAATTCCTAGGGCCATCTGCACCATTGAAACAGAAGCTCTGTTTTGTCCAGAGTCCTTTCTTTCCTCCTGGTGACTACAGGGCTCTGGTTCCACTGTGGTTTGTCCAGATAGAGGTGGAGTTAGACACTGAATCAGGAAAGAAGATCTCAATAACTACATGGCCAGAGGCCACATATCACTTGGAACCTCAGCCTGGCTCAGAGAGAATGTGACTAGAACTTTCCTTGAGACAGACCCTGGCTCTGTGGCTCTTTTGGGAATCCTGTAGGAGGAACAGGATAGTGTTCAGGAGGTAGGAAAGGGAGAGGAGATTGCCTGCTGTTTAGGAAACTATCTCCAGTTGCAGGACACAGGGCAATTGATTACAGCATGTAAACAATCTCCAACTGAAATTAAGTAATTGGCCCCTGAGGATCCACTGTTTCTAGCTGCACAAGGAATGAAATATTGTTAACAGTTTCTCCCAAGACCTCAGCCTCTGTTTCCTAGTGCTGCCTACAGAGGAAGACTCAGGCTTAGGAGGTCCCACACATATCGTCCTGCCTCATGACCTCAAGGCCCACACTCAGCAGACCTTTCTAATTAGAGATACATGTGACACCTCCTGAGCCTGTAGGCCTTGAAGACAGTGGGGCAGGACAACATTGGGGTGCTCCATTGTCAGAAACTGGATGGTAGAGGTAGAACAATCACTAGAACAATCACTGCTTATTGTCAGAATAGTTTGTTAACCTTGGCTTCAGTTTTCCTACCAGTGTGACCCTTGATACTTAACCTCTGACACTTAACCTCTATAGCATCTATTTCCTCAACTGAAAGATGTGGTATTATTAGCACCTACCTTTTTCAATATGAGAATATTAAAATATTACCATATCTATGGTAAAGCTTGAGCCTCTGTGCAAATTCGACTGTGTGCAGAGCTTACTAGAGTTGCACTAGCTACTGCAATACTAAAATACTTTTGTAGCACCTGATTGATAAATATCCACTGCTCTGCATATCCTAGGTGGATCCTGTACCACACAGCTCCTTCAATTGGTCAGTGCCCAGATTGCTCTGGCTGCTATTTTCAAAACAAACTTGCTTGTTCCTGTGCTCAGTGGGAGTAATTTATGGTCCTGAATACCTTAGAGAAGGTCAACTGAATGTCCATGGAGATAGGACCTTGGATACAGTCCCTTCAGGTTGCCAGTGAGGGTGACACAGTGGTGAGAGTCTTATTCCCTTTCCCTCTCTGCCCCCTTACTTCCTGGAGCAACTTATCCCATCTCCATCCCTGGATGGAGAGCGTAGGGGTGATGTTATTTATTTATTTATTTATTTGGTACCAGGGATTGAAATCAGAGGCACTTGACCACTGAGCCACATTGCCAGCTCTATTTTGTATTTTATTTAGAGACAGGGTCTCACTGAGTTGCTTAAAGCCTTGCTTTTTGCTGAGGCTGGCTTTAAACTTGCAATCCTCCTGCCTCAGCCTCCCAAGCTGCTGGGATTACAGGCATGTGCCATTGTACCCAGTGGTGATGGTATTTTTTAAAATGATAAAAATACAAGGCCTCAGAGACCAAGGCATCCTAGGGTTCAGGGGTGCCTCACTCGAAGTCTAAAGATGACAAAAGTGTGTCATCAGGAGAGTGTACTTGATATGCTTCCTCTGATGGGAATCACACTGGTTGGTACTCTCATTGTCTTGTCCTGGCAGCATATTTCTGCTATTGGGCCAGTATAGAGGGCATCACTGCAGGAGCTCATCGCCTGTGGAGCCACCGAAGTTACAAAGCACGGCTGCCCCTGCGGCTCTTCCTGATCATTGCCAACACCATGGCGTTCCAGGTAAGAGGAGAACACTAACTTTTGTGTCCTTACCCTGTCAATGACCCAGGGAAAAATGGAGGGGATCTGAGCCTGGACAGCAGCTCCACCAGGACATTTGTTGCCATTTCTAGTTTCTGGAAATAGTCTGGGAATATAAGTCACTTTTTTGCACAGGCTTCAGAGTACGTATGCAGAAGAGGACAAGCCCCTCCATGCCTCCTTTGGAGCCAGACTTTGGGGACTGTGTGAGATTGGGCTGAGAACCGTGGGCCCTTGCAGACATCCAGGCATTGGACTTTTCCCAGGAGGGCGTCCCTCCTCAGGCCTGCGTTCCTCTTCTCTGTCCCTCCAGAACGATGTTTATGAATGGGCCCGAGATCACCGCGTCCACCACAAGTTCTCAGAAACACATGCCGACCCTCACAACTCCCGCCGCGGCTTCTTCTTCTCTCACGTGGGTTGGCTGCTGGTGCGCAAACACCCAGCTGTCAAAGAGAAGGGGGCGACCCTGGACCTATCTGACCTAAAAGCTGAGAAGCTGGTGATGTTTCAGAGGAGGTGAGTTAAGGGAAGATAGAGCTAGGGATGTGGCTCTGGATACCTGAAGCTTAGGGAACCCATTTTTTCTTTTAGGTCTTAGAAAATAATGGTCAAAAATTTACTGTAAGTTCAAACTCATTTAAAACTCCAGTATTTGACATTCCACAGGCCCCCAGGCTGTACCTTATGGCTCTGTTCCTTCCTCTCCGAGCTATCTTTATGAAACCCATTAAATTAATAAACTGACCTGGGATAATCATGGATACAAAAAATAAATGTAGCTGAGAACTTACCTTCAAGAACTTTCTACTCTACTGGGGTTACAGGGGTAATCCAAGTATCCAAATAACCATGATATAAGGCAGAATATTGTGTGTACCTGAGAGGTAGAAAGAGGAGGGAGATTATTGAGGAGGGAACTGCTGGGAAGGTATAATGAACAGAGTACAATCACAATCCACCTGTAGATAGAGACTTTCATATGTATAGGAGCAAGGACAGTGGAACATAATGAGCCAAAGTCTCAAGGAAGTTCCAGGAAGGATGTCCTTCTGCTTGGAATATAGGGTGGGACAGGAAAAGGAGCACAGTGACAGTTTCTGCAGATTCCTTTCTGCAAATTTAAGATTTTATGCACTTGGAAACAGGAAACTACTATTGGTTTCCTCTGCAGCAACAGGGCATAGAGGTGTGCTTCAGAGTGGCTGCTCTTGGGTAGGTAATCACTGAGCCAGAGAGATGAGAGGCAGGGACACAGGTTGGATAATAGGGAGCACCCTGCTGGAGAGGCAGTGGCAAGAAGGGAAAGGAGTTGGAGGCAGGGAATGCCGGTGACATACGAAATCAAAGATATGTCTGCTCAAGGGAAGGAGTCGGACAGTCAGCTCCCTTCAAGTGTCAATGGCCTGGTCTATATGAAAGCGAAAAGTGGGACAGGGCCTCTGCAGGGACAGAGACCTGCAGGTGATCAAGGACATTCGCTGTGCCTCCTGACAGAAAAGCAGAGCAAACAATTAGGGGAGGTAGTAGGAAACGGAGGTGTTATACAAAACACGTTCTGTTCCAAAAGAGCGTGATTGGAGAAACAACGCAGCCCTAAGGCAGAGGGACAACAGCCCAGGCAGCAGAACTTGGCTGGTAACTTTGTGATTTGACCCTCACTTGTTGACCAACTCTCCTTTATGGTCTTATCAAATAAGCAGTTTGAGTGGGAGCCAAGTGTTCCAATCCTTGCTGCACTGGTTCCTAGTGTTATCTTAGAAAGTCATTTAATGCCTCATCTAAAAAATGATACTATATACTCAAAAGATTTCCCACCCATTCCCCCAGGCTGCTTTTTGCCCAACTGTACTCATTGTGTAGGAGGAAAGTCATTTCACAGCTTAGCCCAGTGAAAGTGGACAATCTAGATTAAGTGTGTGAGTCCTCGATCCACTGACTAAATGTGTGATGTTTCAATGTAGGTACTACAAGATTGCTGTCCTGGTGATGTGCTTCATCGTGCCTACTCTAGTACCCTGGTTTTGTTGGAGTGAAACTTTTGTACACAGCTTGTATGTTGCCACATTCCTGCGATATGCTGTAGCGCTCAATGCCACCTGGCTGGTGAACAGTGCTGCCCATCTCTATGGATACCGCCCCTATGACAAGAACATTGAACCACGTGAGAGTCTCCTGGCTTCACTGGGAACTATGGGTAAGACAACAGTACACAGTAAAACCATATCTAGGGATCAGCTGATGACAGTATTCAGCTTGGAGCCAGAAACACCAGTTATATTTGTTCTTATGAACTTTTTTGTATCTTAGTTCTTCCACTGAAAAATTAGGAATCACTTTTGGGAAATGCATAGGAGAGTCAGGCAACAAGGTTTTTGTAAAAGGATGCTTAAAAATAATAGTGCCTTTTATTCCAGGTCCCCCAAGCCATCTCCAAATCCTACGTATATTGAGTCCTTTTCAAACTTTCCTTTCTCCTGTCACCTCTGACCTGGCTGTAGGCATACTTGGGGCAGAAGAAGCATAAAAAGAACATCAGGGTCAGTGGACAGGCCAGGAAGCCATGTGTTTTATATTTAATCATGTTGTATAAAATGCGGAAAAAGTAATTATTATAATTTAAAAAAAGGATAATGCTCTGAAAGCATTTTTTATCCTTTACTATAGTCTCATGAATCCCCCTACCTCCTTTCAGGCATCTTCTACCATTGTACATATTTTTACTTTGACCTATGCTGTGCAATTTTGACATTTTCCAAAGAAACAGAATAATCCAGTTTATTTATCTTCACTTGTTTATTGTTCATATCATTACTACTGGCATGTGTCCTGTATTGTAAACAGAGCTAGGGTGAACTTCCCTGACTCCAGGGTCTCCTTATGACTACCAGTTCAAAGTGGCTGCCAGCCTTACCATTATCACTGGTGTCATTCACTTCTATTTACCTGCCCTTCCCTCCCTCTCTCCACCCTTTGCTCTCCTCCAGCTCAGGTTCCTGCCATTCTAATCTTTTCCCTTTTTGAAAGACCTCCCCTCACAGTCAAAAGTTCACTCTCTCTCTCTCTGAAAAAGCTGACCTTCCCCATGAGCCTTCCTGGAGCTGCCTCTGGCTACCCCAGTTACCAGCTATGACCTTCTTCTTCACTTTTCTCTTGTGTCTAAGTATGCATCTTATTTTATCTTAAATGGGATGCTGATAGGTCAAGTGAGTGCTTATTCAGAGCCTGAGAAACCAGTCATGGAAGGGAGTGGTCCTTTTTCAGCACCCGTAAGGCCTTCATGTTACCACACACCATTCTCTCAGTTCCCATTCCAGACAACCCAGTGTACAGAGGGACATGCACTTTTAGAAGCCCTGATTAGGGTCATTTCTTTTGCTTATTGTTCTCCACTTGTTTATTGTTCATATCATTACTACTCTAACTGGGGACATTTTTATCCTCAAGAGTCCAACAAATTCTTTTATTAGTTTTTATCCCAACTTGATAAGGCTCAGTTTTGCTAATGTTGGAAGCTGTTCAGAAAAAGAGAGTCCTGCCAAGGGCTGGCAAAATATCCGTGGAGTTTCCAAACATTTGTCCTCCATAGAATACTCCTCCATTGAGAGTACCTGTATTTTCCTCTCAAAGTGAAAAGCTAATCTCAAGAATTCTCAATCTCAGAGGTTAGAGGGAAGCACTCAGAATTTTCAGACTGTTTCTGTTTTATCAGTGCCTCCCCAATCCCAGGGTCAAAGTTCAGAGAATTAGAAGTCAGAGTAGCCCACTATGAACCAGCAGTGACTGAGAAATCTCTAGCCTGTGGCTAGGCCTCCTTACCTCTAACTTTTCCAGTCAGTCTGTTGGAACCTCTCACCCTTACAGGAGGCATCAGGGCAGTAAAGAAAAGGTGTGTTTCCTTACTCACCTTTGTAACAGAACCATCTTCTCTATCATCCTCCTATCCCTTGAGAGAAACTTCCCTCAAAGGATCAAAGGATCCCAGACAGAAATGGTTGACCAGAGCCTCTGGACCTGTTACTTAAGATGTCTCTGGGGGTATCTATTTGCTTCACAGTTGAACACTGAGTTCATTCATTCATTCAGTAACAGCGAGTTTCTCCAGGGCTCAAGGTACCCTGCTAGGTAGGAAGTGTGCAAAGATCAGGAAGAAAGCAATCTACTGAGCTCCCTAACTTCTTTCTTTGCTTTTGTTCCAGGTGACGGCTTCCACAACTACCACCACTCCTTTCCCTATGACTACTCTGCCAGTGAGTACCGCTGGTACATCAACTTTTCCACGTTCTTCATTGACTGCATGGCTGCCCTTGGTCTGGCTTATGACCGGAAGAAAGTGTCCAAGGCTGCCATCTTGGCCAGGGTTAAAAGAACTGGAGATGGAAGCTACAAGAGTGGCTGAATTTGGGGCTGACCAGGATCCTGTTCCAAAAGCCAGCTGAATAGAAGTTTAATGTTCTGTCAATTCACTACTTCTTAATGCTACCAGGATGCTAAATGATGACCTTAACCCATCCCAGAATGGTATTCTTGTAAAATGCATAACTATTGAAAGGCAACAACTCTCCTTTACTCTGTTAAGCAGATATTCTTTTCTTCCCTCTCTTTTCATCCTATTGGCTTTTTCATTGCTTTGTTCCTATCACCTTTCTCTTCTCCCTCATTGCTTCCCAGGCAAGGTGCTGGTCAGCTGTACCATGTGTCTTGCTTTCAAATCCTATCACCTTTTCTAGAGTCTAAAAGTAAAGGTATTTACTCCAGAAAACTCTCTTTTCTTGAGCTGTCATGAGCTTAAAGATAGGTGGCTAAAACTAGAGATGCAACAAAAGTTCTGGGATGTTACTAAGTATCATCACCACATTTGCTCCATGGATGAAAAAATAACTTTATTTGGCACAGATCTTACAAAGCAGATAAACTATCAAGAGAAAGTTAGCATGCAGGGTATGACTCATAAGTAAGGATAATGATGAATTGGAAATGAAGAGCAAGGAAAGTTTCTGTGATCAGACCCATTTGCTTACCATCCAGAGACATGGAGTCGTTCTCTGTCTGACAGTGAAAAGGAATTGCCTTGGAGCTTGGCAATGCCAGAACCCAACACTGAATCTTAGTGTCTCAATGTAATTTAGCCTGAAAATACAGAAGAAGCACTTACTTAGTAGGAAAAGGGGTCTTTGCTGGAGAACAATTTTATTTTTCTTAAGATTTCTTGTTTCATAATACAAGAAATCTTCAGATTGGCTATGTCCAGACTTGACATATAAAATCACTCATAGAGTTTTGGGCATTCCATGAGCTGCTCCTCCAACTTCTTTCACTATTCTCTGCTGCCATATTTGTGATATTAATTGCACCTCTCAAAATAATAAGATGACTGTGTAATTTCCAAGTAGTCAAATCAAAAAGGGCTTTAGAAAGTGGAGGTGTGTCAACCAGAACATATGTAGTCATGGATATTTTGCTTGGATCTTCAAAATATTTTAGAGTATTTACTTCTGAAAGAGGATGTTGAAGAAATTTGAAGTAGAGGGGAAATTATATAGCTTGCCTAATCCTCCCATTGCTGGACAGGTGATGGAGAAGTTGAGGGACAGCATCTGTAGACAGCTTCTGCAAAGAAACTTTCCAAAGGGCTCTGAGAACACAACCAGGAGATTCAAAAGTTGCTAAGTAAATTAGATGTCATAATGAAACAAGCTCCATGCTAGGTCCCTTTATTTGTCCAAATTGCTCCTTAGATTGAGTAGAAACTAAGTTTTTCTCCTCGGTGTTGTGCCCTTCAGTCATTCCTTGCTCTGTGACCATCCAGCCTATAGCATAGGATTGCCTGGGGAAGAGGATTAAATCTCTTATCTGCTGTGATTCTGGATTCTTGGCTCTACCTACTGTCCCTTTTCTCTTACTTTTTCTCTGTGTTCTCATTTTTCTTCTTTCCCTGGATGGGCAATTGCCTGTGGGTATTCAGGGCATTGAGGAATTGCTGCCCAGGAAACTCCCTCTCTTGTAGTCACAATGCTCTTTGGCTCTGCAGCGCTGTGTCTCTTTAACAAGTAGAGCTGATGCCAATTTTTTTGTGGCCTCCAGATCCTCTTCACCTCCCTATGTGCCCCTGCCATACTGATAACCCCATACAAGTCTGAAAAACTCTTCTAGAAGACTGGTTGGCTCAGAGAGGCTCTGTCTCATGAGTCACAGCTGATCACAATGCTCACTTTTTTTGCCAGTGAGCCAGCCACTGAGCAGGAGTTTGTTGTTAGTCCCCTCGATATGGGTTAGAACGAGAGTGCCCCCTGAGTGTTCAACAGAGTGGCTTGGGCTGATCAGCACTTTACAGCTGACAGTACAATGCTTTGGGGAGGAGGAGGAGGAAACCTAGTCCACAGGGGAACACAAGAAATAAGGACAAGTTCCTAAGTGCCTCACATTTAAAGGAGGCCCCTACCTGGAGCCAGGGTCTGCTGGAAAGCTTGGGCTAAGACATGCCGGGAACTTTGCTGAAAATAATGTGTTCAGTAAACTGACAACCCCTGCCACATAGCCTAAGGCAGATAATAGGGTAGAAGAAATCTGGAAAAACATGGAACATTAGTGTTTGTCGACTATGAGCCTCACCTACCCTGTGCTTCTGTCATCAATGCAGAAGCCTGGCTCCTCTCTTTTACATTTGGAGTGTGCAATATGAAATGCTGTATCTACTGTTGAGGTCCAGTAGTGGGAGGGCAGGTCCTTCCTTCCTGTATCAATTGTAGAGAGGCTACAAGCACCAGCCTGCACTAAGGCAGCTTTGTCTGTGAGCTCTTGATTTAGTTGAAAGAACCTCTTGGAATATCACAATAAATTGGATCTACTGACCTATGTGTCTATCCCTGGGAATGTCTCTTATGTAGTTTTAAAATTCTATAAGTCTTTAGATATCTTCTTTATAATATGTGAATAATAAACTCATCTTTCTCTTCTAGTACTGTTCCATGGATCCGATCATGCCATGTCCTTACACAAGTGGGGACTGTGTGAATGTGGTGTGTAGGGAGGGGCATGTTGGCTCAGTAAAAACTCTATTTTCAAGATTCTAAAGATCAATTCAAGTGACACATTAATGAGAAACTCTGATCTGATCAAAAGTGAATTTCTAACAGTCCTTGCCTTGTGTACTGCTAACTACTTTTTGGGTACCTAATGTCTCCTCTCATGTGTGTTGCATGTGAGCCTCCACTCACTCTCTCTGCGAAGTTCCTTTACATGTGAGAGCCTACAGATCTGCCCAGGATAAAGGAGAATTATCAGCACATTGATTTCACTGTAGGTTTCATTTTGGATATTTGCCTTAAGACTATTTTTCTTAAATGCCTATATTTGATGGAAGATAGAAATAATTTAAATGTATTTGATTTATTAGTTTTTGATATTAGAAGATGTTTATATCTTTTAAAGTAGAAGTTTTTTCCTTCTTGGCTGGCTAGTATCCCTATTACAATTGTATTTGGAATGACAAATGTAAAAAATAAAGAAAGGAAAGAGACCAATGTTACTCTAGTGGTAAAAACCTCAGTTTTTCTTTAATTAAGATGGGGTAATATTCTGGCCAATGTCAAGGGCAATTCTGAGACATGACTAATATTTTTTATAAAGCATTTTGGGATCCTCAACAGAGAAATACGTCCTCTGTATTTGTATAAAAGCAGTGTCTTCCATGAACTTGACATGTTAATATATCCCAGATAATATCATTAGTTTACATGGTTCTCTTGAGAGGTGAAGTGAATGAATTCTATCACTTGTGGGCAACTACAAGGATAAAATTTGATAACATATAATCATTGCTATGAACATATATATACAGGATATCTATTTCTCTTTTGGTGGGATTTTTTCTTTCTTATATGAAGTAGTAGTCATCTGTAACCTAATAATGACTTTGGAATAATATTCTTTAATATCAACTCTGAAGCTAGTTGTAATGATCTGACATGATGTTTGTTGCTAATAAAAGTGAAATGAATCTGATTGCACTGTGTCTGGGAGCTTTTTGCTTGTGATTGTCTCTTAAGACCTTTATTTATGGCCCAATAACCTATCCATGTCCAGCATCTTTTGAAATAAAAGATATGTAGAAATGACCAGGTTGTTAAATAACCCAGTAACCTTCCCTGCCCTTCCTAAGTGTAACTTTATTTAAACACCAGGCATCAGGAATGGAGGTATCCGCTCCTATTAAATCAAACTTTCACCAACAGTTGGCACCTTAGCCTGGGGAAATACCAGATATCCATGTGTCACATGGTCACATGGACCCAAAACAGAGACTCTAGGAGGGGCCTAGAGCAGCAGCAGAAGCTCTGCCTGGGAAAGCAATACTTCACACAGCTTTGCAGACCTTAACGTAAGTTGATGGTGGCATTTATGTCATCAATTAATATCTGGTTTTCTACTGTGATCCCTTTCCCTCTTTATTTTGTTCAAATGATCTGGTCAGCATATTCTTTTTCAGTTGTTCTACAATTGCACTCTTCTTACTAATTCTCTACCTCCCTTCTACAGGATCTGGTGTCCAATATAAACATCACTGGGTTTTTTTTTTTTTCCTTCTAATTCCACATCTGCTTGTCCTCCCTTGGATTAAACATATCTTAATCCTTTTTCCAAAAAAATTATATTTTGATATCTGTTATCTCATCCTGGGACTGTTTTTTTACTCCTGTCTGTAAATGTTTCAAGAAGGAAGAAGAGCCAGGCATAGGTAATGTGTGTCTGTAGTCCCAGTTACTCAGGTGTTTATGGCAGGAGGATGACTTGAACCCAGGAGTTTGAGATCAACTTGGAAAACAGTGAGATGTCCTCTCAAGACACAACAGCCAGTGGCTCAAGAGGCTGAAGAAGGAGAATTGCAAGTTCAAAGCCAGCCTCAACAACTTAGAGTCCCTGAGCAACTTAGTGACACCCTGTTTCAAAATAAAAAATAAAAAGAGTTGGGGATAAATCTCAGTGGTAGAATGCATACTTCACATGGGTTAGGCCCTGGAGTCAATCTCCAGAACCAAAGCATAAATATATTAACTACTTAGTTAATTAATTAAATATAAGTAAAATTAACTAAAGTGCATGAGAATGATAAATTGAAAATTATAAAAAGCTACTGAAAAATTAAAGGAGACCTAAAGATATGGAAAGAAATCACATGTTCATTATGTTCACGAATTAGAAAATTCAGTATTAAGATGGTAATACTCCTTGAATTGATTTATAGATTCAAAACAATCCACATCAAATTTCATCTCTTTGTATATAGGAAATTGGCAGGGTGATCCCAATATTCATAAGAAATTAAAGAGATCTAGAATACGTATTGAATAAAATGGTTTTACAAAAGAAGCATAAAGTTGGAAGATGCACACTTCTTGC